ATAAAGCTGTCTTATATCATACATTCGAACATCTGCGTATAATTTTTCAGTGGAATAAAGTTTCGGTTTTTTAAATATCATTTTTAGAATACTTTTTTGAAAAACATCTAAATTATAGATATGTGAGGAACATGCAGCTCCCCATGCTAATATACCATATGTGAGATGAGGCTCAATCAGTGCATGGTATAATGTTCGAAGATATTTTTCTGTCAATATATTCCCAAGGTATTTAATTTTGTAGGATACAAATCTAACTTTCTTTAAAATATAATTGACATGGATGTCCCATCGTAAGTGAGGATCCAAGACCACTTCAAGGTATTTTATGTTGGGCACTCTATTAATTTGCATTTTTTGATCATTAATATTGAAGGAGAAATTTGTGTAATTTGGCAGATGTCTAGCATAAGATCCAAATGGTAAAAATGTGTTTTAGAGTAGTTAATGCTTAATTTTCTACTGTTAAACCACCGAATAATTTTGATAAAATCATTTTCAATTACATTTTTCAGATCAGACCAGTCAGTGCCTTCATATAGTATTGCAGTATCATCTGCAAAACTAGTTATTTTGCCAACACAATTAATTTGGGAAATATCATTTAAATATATATTGAATAACAGCGGACCTAAGACAGTTCCCTGTGGGACATCACACTTAATATACATTTCTTTACTAAATGATCCTGATATCTGCACAGATTTTGGGCGATTTGACAAACAACTTTCGATCAGTGAGTACGCGTTTCCTCTGAAACCAATTCTCTCCAATGTTTCGAATAATAATTTGTGATTAACTGTGTCGAAAGCTTTCTTTAAATCAACAAAAATGCAGATTGAAGGGATTCTGTTATCAATATTTTGATGTATTTGATTTACAATTTTAGTTATTGCGTCCGATGTAGCCTTCCCTTCTGTAAATCCATATTGATTTTCACTTAAAATTTTGAATTTTGTGAGGTATCGAATCATTCTAGTAGATAAAACTTTTTCAAAAACCTTTGCTACACTGGATATTATTGATATTGGTCTATAGTTGTTAACATCTGTTTTTGTTCCTGATTTATGTATCGGTATTATATTACCTTTTTTTAAAATTGAGTGATATATGCCAGATTCAAAGCATTTGTTGATTAGGTAAGTGAGTGGTTCTGTTATGTCCTCGGCTATAATCTTCAAATGCTCGCTTTTAATACCATCGGACCTAGGACCTTTCATATTTTTTAAGGACATAACAGTGGTGTATACTTCACATTGCTTGACTTTATCCAAAATAAATGAGTTCAAAGTTCTTTTTGGAGGCTGAGTATTTTGTACATTTGCTTGTATATTACTTGCTAAATTTTCGCCTATGTCAGTAAAGAATTGTACAAATTCATCGCATATCTGTTGAGTATTTTTTAATACTGTTCCCGATGTTGTATTTAACTCAGTGACACACTCTTTAACTTTTGTTTTCCCAGTAATCTCATCAATACAACTATTGCCAAAGCCGCTTAGGATCATTTAAGTTATTATCAATTTATTTAGGTAATTTTTTCGTTTGGTTTGCCTTACAAGCTCTATAAATTTATTTTTATATTGGTTGTAGCAGTCGGTATTCTCTGTAGTTGGCGTTATTTTCATTATATAGACTTTCTTTTTCTATTGCCGATGTTATTAATCCTTTGGTAATCCAGGCATTTCTGCTTTTCTCTTTGTGACTAATTATTACTTTATTGGTACTAATATCTATTAGTTTTTTTTATTTTCTCTATGAACAGTCCCGTTGCTTTGTCTATATTATTTATAGAGTATAATTGTTCCCAGGATTCTTGTTTGACATTTGATATTAGTTTTGAATTGTCGACAAAAAATTTGTAATTTTCCTGGTTGTTACTAACGGTAGGGATGTTAGAATGTTTTTCATTTGAAGATACCAGTAAAATAGTGGAGAAGTGGTCAGTAATATCGCTTTCTAGGATTATTGGTATACAAGTAATTTTGTTGGATAGGTCTTTCACAAAGCAGTGATCTATACATGTGCCACTGATGGACCTTGTAGGTAGGTTTATATATGACAGAAATCCGTTACTTGATAGGATATTCAAGTATTCATTTGTGATGGGATCATCGTCCAAAATATTTATATTGACATCTCCCAAGAAAACATGTTGCTTTAAATGAACTTTATTTTGATTTTGAAAAAAAATCGATATTCTTTAAAAACTCGTGGGGTTCTGAACATGGCGGACGATAAATTGCAGATACCTCAATTTTGTTATGGTTAATTTGGATCATTATGTTTAAAATTTTGATTCCATCGGTGAAAGTGAATGTATCATGATTATATTGCAGTTTATTTCTTACAAAAACTATCACCCCATCGTTTTGGTTATAAGTGCCAAAGTTATACAGCGTGTCATATCCCTGCTGATTGAAGCAAGAAATATCAGCCACTTGCCACGTTTCAGTTAAAACTATTAGATCAAAATTGTACCATATTTGGTCGAGTAGTATTTTTAAGTAATCAATGTTGTGCTTTATACTCCTTATGTTCATATCAAAAATTCGAAATTTTGCATCAGAATTTTGTGTACATAAATTAAGTTAATCGACTTTTTGTGCTATATTTGTTGCAATACTTGGAATTTGGAAATCATTAATGTATTTATTTGCTGACATTTTTAGGTCCTCTTTAGAGATAGGATTATTAAAAGATGAACTTGAATTTTAAAAAAGTATCCTTAAGTTTTGTTGTTCCTGATAATATTTGTACGATGGACAGTTTTTGTCGGTAGGTGAGTGGTTAATATTATAATTTTTTTTATATCTTTCATTTCCATATCTACAGTTATGAATATGACTCAAAACTCGATCTAAGAGTATCCCTAGGACGATGAAACGACGCTGCCTCTGCCGTTGTCAAAGTATGATTGTGTTCACCTTTTATTATAATTATCGCCGGATACCCATCCTTAAAAACGGACTATGTTACAATTTTACAATTTTTATTAACATTATAAATTGTATACCTTTACACTTTTGTTTTTTTTTCACCGTATCACTAGTTGTCAACCTTATCGTAATTGATAACTCGGCCTGGCACCCTGTATTTTTTTATCTACCTTGCTTGTTTTCCTCTTTTCGTAAGTCGTAAGTCAATTATTTTGTATTGTATCAGATAGTATAACTTTCCCCGATATAAAATAACATAAAAATTTAGGTTTTAAGGTGTGTAAAATAAACAGATTATTTTTTCCTTGAATTTTAAATCAGCAATCTACAAACAAACAAAAAATTTTGTTGCAATTTTCAGACTCCCTACCTTTCCACCTCTAGGATTAATTTTTTTCTATAAACTTTCCTTAGAAGAACACAGATGAACTAAAATTGGATTAACGTAAGGTTTTAGGGATGATATATTGTCGTTATTTCGGGTCACTCATGAAGGCAACCTCCCCGGCCATAAAACTAAATTAACACACAAATACTCCAGATTTGCCTTAAAAATAATTTCATCCCCTGATTTCCTCTTTTGAAGTTAATATTTTTTCATCAAATTAATATGGGACTACCTCAGAGGCATTTATACCCTTTCATTTAAAAAAATAATTATCATAATCGGATAAGCCATCTTGAAAAAATCGGTAAACACACATAGAAAAAAACATAGCTGACGAATTAAAAACCTCCATCTTTTGGTTAAAAAATATTTTGCATTCGTTTAAACAATATTATGCCCTTCGTGAGCCTTGAATTTTCGAAGTAGGTATTCTGAAAATTAGTTCTAACACAAACAAGAACAATCTAGCTAGAAAACATTCAAAAAGTCTAGCTCCAAAAATAAAAAATCTACGGTCGTGATTAGAAGAGAGACCACATTTGAATCGCCAAGTTGTAAGAGTTTCTAGCTCATAATCTCTCAGCCACTGCATAGCGCCTTCTTCGCCTGTAAACTTTCCCCTGTATATTTTGTTTTTTATTTTAATGCAACCTTCCATTGTTCTGCTCAACTCGAAACGTATTAAAAACGATGACCCGCTTGAACTTTGAGGTTATAATATCTAACGTAAAAAGCGTAAACGATAAAGAACTTCCTTACGCATCGGCGACCTTCGACGTCCCGAACTGTATTTCGGCAATCCTCTACATTCGAGTAGTGATTTCTGCACTCGATATATTAGTAGAAGCAATTTAAATTGATAACATTCTGACACTGTTTTCAGCACTGTTTAACATTCCGGTAGTGATTTCGGCACCCGGCTTGTTATTGGTTGAATAAATTGAAATTGACCAATAAAATTAAGGCTGGTGCCGAATCCTATACCATAGTGTTGAAATGCCATCGGGCCGTACTTCTTCAAAGACGACAATGTCCGGAACGTAACTGTGAATGGCGAGCGCTACCGTGCGATGATAACAAACTTTTTTTTGTCCAAAATGGAAGAGCTGGACTTGGCTGACATGTGGTTTCAATGAGACGGGCCACATGCCACACCGCACACGAAACAATGGCCCGATTGAGAGGCGAGTTCGGTGAACACTTTATCTCACGTTTTGGGCCCGTCAATTGGCCGCCTAGATCGTGTGATTTAACGCCGTTGGACAATTCCTTGTGGGGCCATGTTAAGGCTAATGTCTACAGGAATAAACCAGCTACGATTGACGCGCTGGAAGCCAATATTGAAGCATTTATTCGTGAGATACCGGCCGATATGTTCGAGAGAGTGTGCCAAAATTGGACCTTGCGCATGGGCGATCTAAAGCGGAGCCGCGGCCAACATTTACATGAAATAGTCTTTAAACATTAAATTATGTCGACCGTTCTCTCGACTCAAATAAAGATTTAATCGTTTTTTCAAATTTTTTGTGTTTTTTTTTTTGAAAATCAAATCCTATAGGTAATTCTAGGACAGATGGCCCATCAGGTGAGTTGGCCCACCGTCAATATCTCCACAAATGTATGAAAGACCGATACTTTGGCAACACCGGCAGCCATTTAGTATTGCGTCATATGCTGTGTCAGTCGCAGTTAGTAATTGAACGTTTTATTACAGTAGAATTACAATAGAAGTGGTGGTTATATGTACGACTTTTTTTTTGACAAAGTATTAAAATTGCGTGAGAGGTACGTATTGTTATTTTTGCAAACAATTACAAATTCATCGGGTAGTATAAGGCCAGGCGGCATTCCTAACCTAAAATTAAATTGTTATTCGCATGTATAACTTAACGCCGAAGTGAGCCATCTATCCTTGTAACATTAGGTGAGTTGGCTCACTGCTAAGAGAGGAGAGATGGCTCAATTACTTAACATGATTTTAATAGTTATGAACTCTTTTGCAGTTAAAATGCCTACCGAATATAAACGCAAAGGTAGTGTTTGTCGAGGGGAATGGTCAGAACAAGATTTACAACAAGCTATAGAGGCTGTACAAGAAGGTAGAGTTGGTGTTCGAGAAGCCGTTCGTTCCTTTGGTGTGCCATACACAACACTTCGACGACGCTTGAGAAGTGGCAATCATAGAAAGCTTCCGTTGGGACCATTATCTACTTTAGGACAAGAAAACGAAGTTAAATTGGTCAATCATATTAAAAAACTTCAAAAGTTTGGATTTTCGCCATCACGAACAACTGTACGCTCTATGGCATTTGAATTAGCCCAGAAATTAAATCTCCCATATAAATTCAATATTGAAAGACGTATGGCAGGATATCCATGGATCGAGTCATTTTTAAGGCGCAATAAGGATCTAGCAGTGAGAAAATCCGAAGGTATGTCAGCTGCTCGTTGTTTAAATATGAATAGAGAAGTTGTGGCATCTTATTTTAACCTATTGGAAAACACTCTGATAGAATATAATTTAATTAACAAACCAGCAAGAATCTACAATGTAGATGAGACAGGTCTACAAATGAACAACAAACCAGGCTTTGTTATTGCTCAGAGAGGTTCAAAAAACGTATCGGCAGTGACATCAGCAGAAAAAGGCGAAACAATCTCCGTAATAACATCTTGCAATGCGGAGGGATCATTTATACCACCAACGTGCATCTTTAAGGGTAAGAATCAGAAACCAGAGTTTGCCGATGGTATTCCACCAGGCTCCTTAGTATTCATGTCTGAGAAATCAGCTTATGTCAATAATGTTTTATTTTTGAGGTGGATTAAAGAACAGTTTGTCCCAAGGAAACCTCCGGGATATGTTACGTTAATCCTCGATGGACACTCATCGCATTGCAGCAGCGTAGAGACACTACAGTATATTCAGATAAGAGATAGACCGGACATAAACAAGACCACCTGATCATCGAACGCTGTAACATTCGGCAGGGACGTATTAAGAGTCACGCAGTACATATTTTAGATAGTAGATGCTGCTTTGCGTAACTTTGTAGTAAATTAGCACAATTCGATGTGTATACGATTGGTGATGGATATAGGATCATGTGGGGGTGGGGTAAGAAATACATAATGATGTAAATATACATAAGGGTTACAAAATTTTCGCTTCGATTTCCAGCTTCGGATGCCGCCTGATGTTTGGTGAAATACAGTCGAATATAATCTCAAAATGGCGTTTAAATTAGCCTAAATTAAAAATAATCGTATATCTCTTAAAATTGCTTTTAGAATATTGATTAGTATATTTTTTGATTTCTAGGTAAATATGTAACCAAATTAAAACGTTCAAAACGTAAAAAAATGTGCATGGTTGAACATTGTCAGAAAGTAGATTCTTGAATAGGTTTTGCCAAAATGGGTTCAAAAATGTCAATAATTAATTAAAAAATACAGTAGCTTTATAATTACTTATAACTTACCGAATTTGATGAACGACATCTTTTATTGGAAAGATGAGCTTGATGAGCTTTCATCATCGCTACTGCCTGAAGCACCAACGTCAATAATGAATGGCTCGACTTGTTCCTCTAAAATATTGTCCAGTTCCCACATCCTCTTTTCAACTTTGTCTTTCACGTGCTTAATACAGTTTTCCCATTTTTGCGCTGTTATTAATTCTAGTGCTTCTTTGAAAGGATGTTTGAAGGTTTGAAATATCAAAAACACATAAAAACGTGGCTTAAAAAAGTTCTAACAAATGAAAATGACAATAAAACATCCACGCATTTTATCGAAAGTTATACAAGTTTTGTTACTTGTAATATGTTTTATCTGCCCCCTGGAATTAATGTTTAGAACCTTGTTCCCAAGGTTTGAAAAACATCCGATTGTTGTCTATTACTCGTATTTACCTGCTGGATTTTTTAATCCGGTGGACAGTCCATCTAGAAAGGCCCTCCACGTTTCATCAAGGTAATAAATATTCCTGTTTTGATTTCTATATTTCCCAATTTTTGTTAAATAATCCCTCTTCCATAGCACAATTTCTTCTCTATCCAGTAGTAAACTATTACGACCCCGTTTTTTCCATTTGAAATTTAAATGCTTCAGTAACGCATGGAAAGTTGATAGTTGGAAATTTGGCAACGTTGTATCTCCATTTACCTCCTGCAGTACTTTATCTATAGTAGGTATTTCATTCCCAAAGAAGAATTAATGCACTTTCCTCCTAATCGCATGCTTATCAGCTTCATCCAATGATTTAACAATACTTTTGCGATGTTAACTGGTCATTGGCTCAGAAAAGGTGTGATTTTTTTTGTATTCTCTTAACACATTAAACACAGATGCGCGACACACCCCAACTTTGTGAGAAACCTTCACAACAATTTCTTTGATTGTTGATGCCTCGTTCTCCTCGCGCTCGATCTTATATATATTCAAAATGACCTCTTTCATTTCTGCACTCAGGTGTCTTTTTTTAGAGCGTTTCCTAGGTGAACTACAGGAGTTTACAACTTCATCGGCAGTATCTGTACTACTGGGCATTTTGCGCAAGCAGTTGATAACAATAACAATCAATAACAAGGTATAACAATAACAACGACAAACTCAACAACTTAATAAGATAACAAACGAAAACGTCCAAAGAAATATCAAATTGCAATGATGCACACGACATACGTAACAGGTCTGAACCTGAATGTGACTCTGCATTGATACGACTGCTCTGCCGCTCGGCATAGGCATTTAATTGCGAATTTACCAATGAGGGCTCCTGTTTTACGTCGAGACAGCGGCGTTAGCGTGAAAATCACCCGAACCTTTTGTTTACATCCGGTCTATCTCTTATCTGAATATACTGTAGAATATGCTTCTGAAAATGAAATAATCTTTGTGTGTCTACCTAGTCACACAACTCAATTTCTTCAGCCTCTAGACAGAGGAGTTTTTAAGTCACTAAAGGCGTTTTATTATGAAGAATGTAATGCTTTCATTAGAAGAAATCCCAATCGACGCATTAACAGATTGATTTTTGGACAATTACTCGCTGCAGCTTGGGAGAAATCAGCAACTGTTAAAAATGCGGTTTCATCTTTCCGAGCTACAGGAATTGTGCCTTTCAATCCGTCTGCGATTCCAGATTATGCTTATCTTACTGACAAACCTCAGGGAGCTTCACCTAATGAACCTGAATCTCAAGTTTTACCGAATGTTGACAATAGAAATGAATCTGCTCAGGATTCATCTATTATTGAAATATTGGAATCGGTAGTGAATGATTCAGCTGGACCATCTGATACGAAGACACCTGAGAAAGAAATAGATACCCCTGGAAAAATACTGGACAAAATTAACCCGATTCCTATCACTGAAGCAGTCTCTTCTGCGAGGAAGAGAGGTGGACAGTTGGCTTCTGTCTTGACTAGCAGCGATAATATTAGAAATAAGAAAAAGAAACTAGAAGAAAAATTACAAGCTGAGGCGAAGAAACGGAAAAAGAAAGAAAACAAGAAATGCATTAAACCAGGCCCTAGCCGCGTTCAAAGTAAGTTTAAAAAACGGAAGCAATCTACATCTTCTTTTTCTGAAGAAGAAATAATATATGATGATTCCTCGGAATACGAAGATGAAACAAGTAAATGCGGTGGATGCAGAGATTTTTATTCCACCACCACAAAAATGGATGACTGGATTCAGTGTGTGACGTGTCCCAGATGGGTACATGAAGGGTGCACCAGATTTGACAATTTTTGTGATGCATGTGGAAAGTCGCTGCAATAATGAACTACTATATTAACTAGTTTTTGAATCGAGCCATCTCACCGAATACTATGGGCCAACTCACCCATATATTAAAGGAGAGATGGCTCAGTCTGATATTTTATTTTTTTCGTTTCTTTGAGAATAAAATTTAAGTTTGATTATTTTTTCTGTTGTAATAATATTCTTCATATAAGCCTGGTTTAACCTAAGTTATTAAATGATTTTTCTGGGGTATAAAGATGTTATGTTGATTTGTAAAAAGGTGGGCCATCTGTCCTAGAATTACCCTACCTCTTAAAAAATCACCGTTTACAAGTGAACATAAAGTGGATGACAGCAAATTTCGAAGGGACAATCATGGCGATCAGATCGCTATCTTTCTAATTTTACAATTACCATATTCTATTTAATTGTCCTATAAATGGGTTACTGTTGGACAATAAAGCTATTATTATTATTAATAATTAGATAATGATGATATCCTTGATTTGAAAATCCTGCATTAAAGACGTCACTGTTCACTACTCCTTCTTTGCGCGTCTCCGTATTCCGTACATTTATTCTTCGTCTAACGGGCTAATTGGAGCGATTGTTCCAGTAAATGATACTTACTCTCAAAATGAAGCATGATGGGTTATTAAGCCATCTACTTTAGCTGTTATGCGGCCCGACGCCTTTCTGGGAAACTCACTTAGTGCTCCGAATATTACGAGACGGCCATTTCAAATAAGGAGCTTAACAATTGTAGGGATAGAAAATAGGACTATGTACAATACAATTATTTGCCGCTGCGAGAGTGGTGGAAGCAAAATATTATTGGGGCTCTTCTTTCAGCTTTCAGATCTAGGGGCATACAAGGCGACGCGGAAAAAGGTGGCAATATTTCTATGACAGAAAGTGTGTCAAAAAGTAACACGGGAAGTTTCTATCAAAAATTTATATAACGGTGCTTTTTTAAGAGGATTTTCAAAAAAAAACACAAAAAATTTGAAAAAACTATTAAATCTTTAATTGAGTCGATAGAAGGGTCGATATAATTTAATGTTTAAAGATTATTTCATGTAAATGTTGGCCGCGACTCCGCTTTAGATGGGCGCAAGTTCCAATTTTGGCACACTCTCTCCAACATATCAGCCGGTATCTCACGAATAAATGCTTCAATATTGGCTTCCAGTGCGTCAATCGTTGCTGGTTTATCCCTGTAGACATTAGCCATAACATGGCCCCACAAGAAATAGTCCAACGGCGTTAAATCACACGATCTAGGCGGCCAATTGACGGGCCCAAACGTGAGATAAACTGTTCACCGAACTCGCCTCTCAATAGGGCCATTGTTTCGTGTGCGGTGTGGCATGTGGCACCGTCTTGTTGAAACCACATGTCAACCAAGTCCAGCTCTTCCATTTAGGGCAAAAAAAAGTTTGTTATCATCGCACGGTAGCGCTCGCCATATTCACAGTTTCGTTCCGGCCATTTTCGTCTTTGAAGAAGTACGGCCCGATGATGCCACCTGTAGTGAGTTTTTCGGGATGCATTGGTAGCTCTTGCAATGCTTCTGGCTGGTCTTCACTCCAGATGCGGCAATTTTGCTTATTAACGTACCCATTCAACCAGAAATGAGCTGAACACAATTTTTCGACAAAAATGTGGATCTTCCTCCAACTTTGCCAGCGCCCATTCACCAAATGGGAAACGTTGTGGGAAGTCGTGTGGCTTCAATTCTTGCACCAGCTGTATCTTATAAGGTTTTACACCCAAATCCTGTCGCAAAATTTTCCACGTACTGGAGTAACAGAGGCCCAATTGCTGCGAACGGCGGCGAATCGACATTTCACGGTCATCACTAACACTGGCGGATACAGCCGCAATATTTTCTTCAGTCCTCACTCTACGTCTGCGTGTTGGTGGTTTAATGTCCAATAATGTAAACTGGGTTCAAAATTTAGTCACAAGTTTCCCTCAGTAGGCCGACCAAATTGCCCATAAATTGGAAGCAGTGCTCGATGCACTCTCTTAACCGAGCATGAATCTTGATAGTAAAATTCAATAATTTGCAAGCGTTGTTCGTTCGCAAGTCGACTCATGGTTAAATTATAAACCAAACTGAACAAGTTTGACAATGACACAAGACACGATTCACGCGTCATCTGTCAGAAACAGTGTTGCCAAAAAGATACTAGCAGAAAAATCACCCATTATTATGAAGTTTTGCCTTACCCAAAGTACAAATTGTAGTAGTTTAGAATTAAGAAATCAATTGAATCCTTGAATTGGGCACAAAATAATGAAACCTTAGACTTTTGCGGGTTGAAAGCCAGATTATGATCAGAGGAATATCAGATTTGATTGTTAACATCATTTTGTAAAAATTTTACAGTAGTTTCGACATTCTGCGGATTAAAATAATGTATCAATTGTGTAACATCTGCGAAAGATTGGATATGTGACTTATCAAAAACTTTGTTCGCGTCAAAAGCATTTATCGGAAATAATAACAGTACTAGCTCTGAGCCTTGAGGCTCACCTGAAGGAACATGGAATATTTTTGATCAATGTCAACACGTTGGGTCCTTTGATCAAGGTAACTTCTGACAAATGAAAGAGCTAAGCTATCATTACCTATATAATTTAATTTCGCTAGCAGTAATTTGTTCATGATTGATGGTCAAAAGCTTTTGAAAAATATACAGGGTGTTTCAGTTTATTGTTGCATAACTTTAAGAATAGATAGAACTTTTAAAATTAATGCATAAAGTCTATATAAACATGGGTCGAAAAATGCGTGGCTTCCGAAATACCGGGTGTTTAAATTTACTTTCTAAAATAGTTTTTTTTAAATATTTCGAACATGATATGATGTATAACAGCGAAAATTGGTATACAAGGGTTTTTTGGTACGATAAAGCGAACCATGGGCATAGTTTTACTATAGCCGCTAGAGGGCGCTCTCTACTGTACCTGTAGTGTATTAAAATGACCGCAAATTTTTTCTTAGTGCAATTTTTTGCTTTTTGAATATGAAAACTGATTCTTCGTACTTTTCAACATAAAAAAGCTCTCTTGTGAATTTTCGTTATAGTTAGCCGTTTTTGAGATATTTCAATTTTTAAGGTTCGATGCATTTTTAATTATTTATGGGATAATAATATTTTTTTTTAATTTTCGATTTGGGCATTACAAGTAATTAAGATGATCGTTTAGATTGTGTTTTTAAACTCAGCAATAATTCCTAACTCCAAATAAACACAAAAAACAGAATATTAATTTGTTTAAATTTCCAATATTATTTTTAACAAACTAAATTAATTATTTACAGCTAAAATGCTATTGGATAGTTAGGACATACATACAAAATCTAAAGTAGTTGCTCGAAATGTAAACCCAGTTGTTCAATACACAATTCACATCTACGAATGATCGAACGTGGTATAGCATTATTCAAATAAGGCCTTATTTCATCACATGCATTCCTGATTCTGTCTATTAGCATATCTCTTGTGGTTACGGGAGTCTGGTACACTTTTTCTTTTAGAAATCCCCATACAAAGAAATCTAATGGATTTAGGTCAGGGGATCGTGGAGGTCAGGCGACTGGTCCTCCACGGCCGATCCATCTTTCTGGATAATTTTCGTCCAGCCAGTTTCTAACTATTCTCGAATAATGAGCTGGACAATCATCAAGCTGGAACCAGGCCAATCTTCTTAAATCTAACATAACATCATCCCACATAGTTGCATGTTCAGCCTTTAAAAATTCTAAGAAGGTCGCAGCATTTAACCTTGCAGGCAAAAGGTAGGGTCCAAATAGTCGATTACGCTAGATACCAATCCACACGTTCACACTAAATTCATGCTGAAAATTTCTTTCTCGAACTGCATGCGGATTTTCATGCGACCAAATATGTTGATTATGAAAATTTACCACTCCACGTCTAGTGAAGCATGACTCATCGGTCCATAAAACGTTACTTAAAAACTCCCTATTATTATCAGTTCTATCAAGAATCCACTGACAAAATGTGATTCTTCGTTCTCCGTCCCCTGGCTGTAGTCCTTGCACAGGTTGCAAATGGTAAGGACGTCTATGGTCATTTCTATGAATACGGTGAACATGGCTTGCTGAAATTCCCAAGGCACCGAAACTCTCCTAACACTTGTGGTCGGATCTCTATCAAACTCACGCAGAATCATACGGGTAAATCTGCGCTGACGAACATTTATGTTTTGATCCCTTTGGAGATTTCCAAAACCATTTTCAATTATTTGGCGATCCACTCTTACAAATACTGAGCGAGTTGGATGTCGTCTGTTTGGAAATCTTCGTGCGTATTCTCTGGCTGCTTCTGCTGCGTTTCCATTTACAAAGCCATACACAAAATGAATATCGGCTAACTCTTGATTGGAGAATAAAAATGGCATTTTTATAAAACTTACAAAAAAAAACAGGTAAAAGAAACTAAATTTCGTGCATTCACAATTGCAAAAAAACGTTTCAGGTTTCTACAGACAACAAAACTAACTGTCAACTAATTGACGTTTAACCTTATTCTGCTTTCAATTACAAAAATATTTGCAGGCACAGCCTATTTCTAAAAATTATTCAGTTACTGACTGTTTAACGTTATTTTATCATAAATAATTAAAAATGCATCGAACCTTAAAAATCGAAATATCTAAAAAACGGCTAACTATAACGAAAATTCGCAAGAGAGCTTTTTTATGTTGAAAAGTGCGAAGAATCAGTTTTTTTTATTCAAAAAGCCTCTAGCGGCTACAGTAGAACTATGCCCACGGTTCGTTTTGTCGTACCAAAAAAGTTATGCAACAATAAACTGAAACGCCCTGTATATAAGTATGTAAGTATTAAACTAACAACTTATGCTGATACCACAGCTTGATACTAAACTACATCAACCAAGAGTTCGAATCACCACTTTCTTCATGGACACAGGATGGTTTGAAGAATAATGTAAGAGTTGCCCTGTGTGTGTTGGTTTTCTGTATAGTGAGATTTCTAT